AGATAGTAGCCAGAACAGGTCTCATATCTGTGTTGCAAAAAACTGCATTATGTTGCAAATTTCGACAACATAATGCTCACTGGTATTCTGTTGAAGTGGGTGAGTCGGATTACTCACGGCTCAATTTACGCATGAAACTGTAGTCTACACATGCAGCATAATCAGTGAGGAGGGCTTGTACCATTTCGTGGCGTGTGTTTTCTTACGCATTACTGTTTACAGTATTTTTTTTTTAAGGCACAGTCAACTCATTATCATGCACAAATGATTAATGATGCCTTACAGTACACTATCAATCTGGAGTAAATACATAACACAAAGTGCATCATTTTATTATGATCAGATGCTTAAACATTGGTTATTTAATCATGTTTCATATTTGTACATGACCCCTAATGTAGTTTTGTAGATTGCAAGTGATGGAAAGTAATTAAGTGCATTCATTTAAATTAAGAGATGAATTTTGTTCATTCAACTCAACTCCATACATTTTTATTGAAAGCTATAGTTAGTAGTTTTTGGCAGACTTATAACTTGCATATTTGATTAGCTTATAATATATGATTGAATGTAAACACTAATGTGTAAACTAACAAACTAATGAAATAAGATGTGTCCTGACCAACTAACTGACATCTGCTTTACATTAATGCAAGAGTGATAATTAAATAATACGCATACTAATATAGCACTCTGAAAGGGGCCATTCTGCATTAATACTTTTACTTCTATACTGGCGTAAAACTTTGAAGGCATGACTTTTACTTAAGTGAAGGATGTGAGTACTTCTTCAGCTATATTTCCTTTTGTGAAGGAAGAAAGGTGGAGAAAGATAAAACTGCTGTTTGATTTATTACCTAATCACATTGTTATATGTCATAACGAGAACAGTCAGTTTGAGCATTCACTTGGAACTCGGAGAATAGCTATACCAGAATGATGTACATGAGTAATGTGTTCCCCCTCTTAATTTGGCACCAGTCAGCAAATGATTGCTCCTCTCATGTCAGATATTAAGACTAAAAGTGTACATGTTAGTGGTTCTGTGACGCTGGATTCATGCACACTAAAATGCTAAAATCGGCACCTTTGCAGGTATTTAGTTATAAACCAATATTAAAATATTGACCTGATGATAGTGTTGGAGGAAAGGGAATGGAGGTTAGTTATAATAAGCTATAATAATTCACCCCAAGGGGAACATTAATATTTGTACCAAACTTAAAGAAAATCAATAATTGTGGATTTCCCACAACACCATAAACGTCAAACACATGGTCGCGCTAAAGGAAAAGTCTGCGTTTCACCAGAGTCATTGCAATTCATCCCCGTGGATTCATGAATGTCTGCACCAAATCCTGTGCCAATCGATTAACTGACAGTCTGACTTATTCATAGAGCAAAGCAGCTGAAAAACCTAAAATTGTCCATTGTGCCAACTGATGGAAACCTTTCTTGCAGGGTATAGCCAATGATTGGTCTTACGTTTCTTTATATTTAGTCTTTAAAAAGTGTGATTAAGTATTACATTTAACTCAGAGATAACACCAGATAGATACTTTAGATAGTCCCTGTTGTGACAATATTCATTCTCCAAGAATGCATCCCACACAAAGTACTGTACATACCCATCGTTATAGTGGCCTGCCACTCAAACATGAATTGCGCAATAAAGCTATTTTCACTGGGACACAATTCTAAACATCAATGGAAACACCCATTTGCTGAAAGCAAACTCCCACACTTCTTTTCTGGGGCAGAAATAAATGCGTCCTAGTGCAACACTGCCAAGGCTGCAGGCAGTGGAGTAAAGGGCGTGTGTATGTATTTTTTAAACTCTGATATATCTAGCCATGGTGGCCATTTTTATCTGCATGTTTTAATTGATTATTATTTGACTGATATACCATATGATTAATGATGTGCCAGCTCAACTTTAACGTGTAAATGAATATATTCAAAACAAACTAGACACTAAACGACAAATAAAAAAGTATAAAGTCTAGAACATGGTCATAATATGAAGAACAAACCACCATATGCAGAAAATCTGAGTTTAAAAAAAGTTTACTTTTGGTAGGTTGGGGGTTTAAACACAAAATAAATAGTGTTTCATAGAATCAATACAATATCACAAAACAAAATATTTTGATGCCAATCTCATTCTCGCCAAATAATGGTATAACAGCACATATATTATATATTAAAAAAGACTTTGTGAGCTGTATGAATAGATAGTAGCCAGAACAGGTCTCATATCTGTGTTGCAAAAAAACTGCACTATGTTGTAAGTTTTGACAACATAAAGGTCACTGGTCTTCTGTTAAAGTGGGTGAGTCAGATTAGTCACGGCTTAATTTACGAATGATACTGCAGCCTACACCTGCAGCATAGTCAGTGACTATTTTGTGGCGTTTGTTTTCTTAAGCATGACTTGAGGGCCTTGGTAACTGTTGAGGTAAACCGGTTCACTTTCTCACAACCACGCGCTAGATGCTTTCAGAGGGTGGGGCAAAGCTTTATAAAGCCGTAGAGGGTGATAGTAGGGTCATATTGCATCTCAGTGAGAAAGAGAGACACTAACAAATGGAAGGTGAGATTTGTCTTCAGAGATGCATTCTCTTTTTTTGTTCTCTTTTTCTTTGCCTATAGGGTGAATATTTAGTGCCATCTAACTGTTGAATGCATTTTTCTGTAGCAATTGCTTTAACTTTTTTTTCTCTGGATTTGTAGACTTAAGAATACAGCATGTCAACCTGGAAAAATCTGAAAACCTGGAGAGACACAGGACAGAGGGGTTCAGCAGCTCCAAAGCCCTGGTGGTGCGAAGAGGAGCCCCATTCAGAGTCAGTTTGCAGCTGGAGGGCCGACCCTTCAACCCCAAGACTGACTCTCTGAGGATCAAAGTTATGCTAGGTAGACTAGATTTAGATTTAGTCTAGATTGATTTGGATGGATAAGCAGACTTTTGTATGCAACCAATCTGAACCTGAATTTAAGATTGTCTTTCTCTCTTCTCTCCTCAGGCAGTCTGTATGTGATAATGCCGGTCACTTTCTCCAAGAAGGTTTCTTCCTCCCATTGGAAAGCCTCTATGGACCCAGAGGGCCTGAACCTCCGGAACCCCTCCATATTCATCTCTTCTCCCGCTTCTGCCTCGGTGGGCTGCTACAGATTTCAGATGAGTGTGTTAACTCAGGAAAGCCAGAAGAGTGCCTTTGGCAAATTCATCCTGCTCTGTAATCCCTGGTGTAGTGGTGAGTACAAGTCAACCCAGTGAATTGATCACAAGCTTTTAGGAAGTTCATGCAAAGTTGTGCAGACTCTGAAGCCTTTGCTAGCTCATAAAGTTGCAGCAGCAGTGAGTTAACTAAACCACAAATGTACTCATATATGGTTTGTGTGGCTGATTGAGCTCATGATGATGTATTGCATTCATTCATCACCTTTAATCACTTATTAGTTATTTTTATTGGAGTCTGATTGCTACAGTACAGTGGTGATGTGCTTTGCGACTGCCTTTGTCAATCATGAGGTAAGGATTCATCATAGCAAATGTCTGGCATGAGCTTTGCACAATATTGGGCGAAAAAATTTAAATGAGCATTGAAGGTGAAGTCTTGTATAAAGCAATATATTACAAAATACACTAGTATATACTAAATATAAGGCTTATATGTCGCAGAGGACACAGTGTACATTCCCTTTGAGGACCAGAGAGAGGAGTACGTCCAGAATGACTCTGGGTTGCTGTTTATGGGGACTGCTATGAACCTTGTGTCAAGACCATGGTCCTTTGATCAGGTATGAAAACGATATCTAATGATCAGAAGTTGTGCAAATGTTCAGTGAGAAAAATATTATCAGGTTATTTACAGAAGATGCGCTGACTCAACTGGGGCTTAATGTAAAACAACGTACAAAGAATGTCTTTGTACGCTGTTTTACATTAAGCCCCATAAATGCAGTGTTCATTATAGTGCTGTTGTATTGGATTGCATTTCACTGTCAAGTATTGCTTGTTTCCACTCGCAGTATTTACTTTTAATCCTCGAGTTGGATTAAGACACCAACTAAAAAAAAAATTAAAAGGGGGAAAATAGGGGGAATTAATCAGGGGAAAAAATTATAATGTATGACTTAGTAGAGGTAAAACAGCAAACAGTATCTGCGTAGTTAATAGTTTAGGATTAAGCTTAATCCTAAAACCTGACCAAACAAGTTAAGAATGTATTTATTAGACTATGCTTCAAATGTCATTTAATTCTCTCATTTCTTTTTCTTTACCTGTAAAGTATGAGCCTGGTGTTTTGGAGACATGCCTGAATTTGCTCCAAGTCAGCCCTCATCACCAAAAGAACAAAAGAATAGACTACCTGAACCGAAACAACCCGGTCTACATCGGCCGGGTCGTGTCTGCCATGGTGAGTGATTCAGATTCAGAGTAAAAACGTATAAACTTCAAGATATGAATAAATCTCTTACTACCAGTGTTCTGTTTCACCAATTTTTTCAATTTACTTTTTCTGACAACATGAGTGTCTGGCTGCTTATTAAAAACATATTGTGGCTTGAACGGGCACACTGTGTACCGCAGATTGTAAAGATAAACACATGCCTCCTGCAAAGTTCTGAATACGGAACGTCACATGCAGAAACACTGTAATTATTGCAGTAAAATGGTCGTTTAAAGTAGTTATTAAACTGTCACTGTAAATCAGAATAATCTCGGAAGATGTGAGATGCCCAAGCTTGCTTTATGATCTTTGGGAACTGACATTTTCATCTTCTCTTTGATGTTTAGATCAACAGTGAAGATGACCGTGGAGTGCTGAAAGGAAACTGGTCAGGTGACTTCAAACAAGGAGTTAATCCTGCCACTTGGACTGGGAGCGGGGACATCTTGAGACAGTGGGCTGAGTCCGGCTACAGCCCGGTCAAGTACGGACAGTGCTGGGTGTTTGCAGCTGTCATGTGCACAGGTGATTATATCATGATAATTCAGAACTTTTGAAATGAAATCACTTACAAGAAATATCAGTCAAGCACTTTTTATGTGTTCTGTACTTTTTGTTCAATAACCAGTACTACACCTTTAAAGTATGGCGTCATGTTTGATGTCTTACCAGTCATGTTCATCATTTTTTCCATGACACAATGTTCTGATATTTTCATTGGCATGTAAACATCTGTGTCTGTGTTTAATTATGTCTTTCAGTCATGAGAGTTTTTGGCATTCCTTGCCGTGTTGTCACAAACTTCAACTCTGCTCACGACACCAATGCGAACCTGGTGATTGAGGAGTACTACAGTGAAACAGGGCAGAAGCTGAACCACAGCAAGGACAGCATATGGTTAGTAGTGATTTAACTTTTTATTGTGCTTTTCAGAGCCACAGACATTGATGACATTTATTTAGTTTTGAGAAAAATTACTTCATGCTTTCTAATATTTTATTATGGCTGTTCTTAACAGGAACTTCCATGTCTGGGTGGAGTGCTGGATGACTCGCCGGGATCTGGGACTTGAAATGGATGGCTGGCAGGTTTTGGACCCGACCCCGCAGGAGAGGAGTGGAGGTGTGTGAGAAACTTTGTTGCTCCTGTTGTGAAACTTTTCTGGGGTCACCACTGAACGTGTTTTCTTGAATAAACATTACTATAATCATCTTTTCTTCCTTCTTTTATCCTAGGAGTGTTCTGCTGCGGCCCAGCCCCAGTCAAAGCAATCAAAGATCGGCGTATTGACATAATTTATGACATTCCCTTTGTCTACGCCGAGGTGAACGCCGACGTCCACACAATTGTAGTGAGCAAGGGAGGGGTGCTCAGCTACAGCAAAGACACAGAGAGAGTGGGGTCCCTCATCTGCACCAAAGCTGTTGGCTTCCCCATCCACCAGAACATCACCGGAGACTACAAATACATCAAAAGTATGAACCAAAAACAGAAAATGCATTAATGAAGTGACATAATGTTGACATTGTTGACATCTAAGGCGTTAATAGTTACTCACATTTTTCTTTCAATCTTTACAATATAGGCCCAACTTCAACACTTACATCAAGAAGTTCCACAGTGTCAGAAGACTCAACATTGAGGAGAGGTAATTTTGAATTTTGAATACATTAATAAGACTCATAATCTGTTTAAACACACGTCATCTCATGCTCTGGTTATCTTCATGTTATTTCAGCAAGCTCATCCAAGGGGGTGTTAGTCTTCCTGACCCTGGAAAAAGCTCCTGTTGCTGGGGAGCCTGTCCGCTTCACATTCAAAGTCATCAACAAGCACAGTGTTGCCAAGGTGATCAAGGTGCATATGAACGCGCAGGCTAAAGAATACAACCACAGCCCCTCGGACACCTTCTGGGAAACCCAAGGTGTCATACAACTGGCACCCAAGGAGGGTAAATACACTTTGAGCTCATCTACAATCTCACATTTTCCCTTCTGAAGGACTGTGGTTTAAATGTGTGCCTCTATCTCTCCAGCCAAGATCATTCAGCAGCAGATCCTCCCAGCCCAGTATGAGGATGTGGTGGGAGATGACTTGATCAATCTCGCAGTTGTCCTGGAGGACACAGCCAGTCAGGATCGTGTCCTGGCCTCAGAGGAGTTCAATATCGCCAGCCCACAGCTTACCATACTGGTACTAGAGACATTCTGATTGTTACTTACCAATAGTTTAGATGGCAAAGTCACTTCTTTGAGGGATTAGGGAAATGAAAAGTAGGTATTAAGCTAGATTTAAGAGTAATTCTCTCCCAACCAGCTGAACTCACTGTCTAATCCATACCAAATATGTAATGCTAAACAAATAAATTAAAATGATTCAGGCTGACAAGAGCTGTCGGAAACATACAGAATGTATTGACATGGCTTCACTTTAAAGTTATTTGAAAGGTAATTTAAGGGAATTATCAGGGTTCACTAACACAAATTCCTCTTCTAGATTGCGGATGAAGACTCCATTGTGCCTAACAAAAAGCACACTGCTAAAGTGATCTTCACTAACCCATTTTCACACCCGGTGAGTGGAGTATTGACTGTAGCTGGAGCCGGACTGATCCAGGGCAAGATTCACTTTAGGTAAGGATCTCTTCTCTTCATTGTTTATGTACGTGTTGATTGCTTAATGAATGGCTGCTAAATAAATGGGTGGAAATATAGGTGTGTCACTGTACTGTGAGGCACTGTACAGTGTGTATTTATTAAAGGAATGTGGGCTTGTTACACTTGTATATTGTTCTACTTATGTTTGTGTTCAGTGTTTTGGCAGGTGTGGCAAGGTAATACAAAAAATGTTCCAGTACTGCGTGCAGATCAGGGATAGTAATTATTTGCAAGCACTGAACTATAACCTTACGAGCTTAGCTGCCACAAACAAATTGGTCTGTTGCAATTTTCAGATGAAAGCAGGTCACAGAGCAGAGTACTTTTTGACAGCGCAGCCAGTGTCAGCCGTTGAGTAGTAGTTGCACTTCAGCATTTTCTGAACTCTTTTATACCTTGTGTCTTCCTGCAGGATGCTCCAACTGCGTCCAGGAGGAAGTGTGCAGCAGAACATCAACTTCGTGCCCAGCATGGTGGGAACAAAGATGCTGCAGGCCAACCTGTCACTCACCAACATCAACTCCACAATCAGAGGCTTCAAGATGGTCTCTGTCAACACAGCCTAGATCTGTTTTTTGTGCTCTTTTTGCCTTCCACTGAGCACAATATTTACACTTCTGATGTCACACTTTTTATTTAAAGAACTGACGCCAGAACATGGCAACCAGATGGCAGCATCAATCGCAGAGGAAATTACTGCCATCTAATCCTGTAAGATATAAATGTGAATGTAAATTATATGTATTTATTTTGCTATTTATTTTGCTATTTATGTGTATGAGCCATGAAAATTACCATTGCTACCTGAAAATCTGCAATTTTACTTGAAATTGAAAAGCCGCAACAAATGATTTTAATACATTATTGTGCTTTTTGCTTTGTTTGAAAAATAAAATGTATTTAAATATACCATATGGCACATTTCTTCTGATGGTTACATATGTGTGGATTTATGCTATTGCAGTTCTTTTCCTGCCCTGAAGAGGGAGACCTTTCCTCAAAAAGGTCACCTCAGACTGCATGAAATCTCAAACCTCTTGAAAAATTACATGTAATTCACAGGAGGATCATTCATCATTTACTTATTAGTCATTTAATCCGTCTTGCTTCATACGCCTCTGGGTTGAGTAACTGTGAAATGAAATGAATCTTGACTCACCTTTCCCCACAATGCAATTAATTTATCTTTATTAATCTATTTTAACTGTCTGTCAAAACAAATCGACAATAAAGCATTATATACAAATCATAGCTAAGCTGACAAGCAGTGTAATCAGCACATGCACAACCATACCAGTTCATCTATATTACAAACAGGTTATTAGAAAATGAAACAATGACAGAAAAGAAGAATTAAAACATGACAACATTTACAACCCAGAATCAAAAGTAAGGATTTGAGCACCAGCCTATAATACAGCATCTTTAAGACATCTTCTTATTAAAACATTTTTACAAGAGCATATTTTTGGTCTTTGAAGGGAAGATTTTCTTATGCTGAGCTCCCAAACTTGTTTATACCTCATTGTGTTGTGAATTTAACTAATAATAAATAGCTCACATTTTAATGGTAAAATACAATCAGGCTATTTTCAATAGCCTCTACCTATGAGGAGAATATTACCTGACATTTATCTAGCCGACATATGAATATAACAATTCTAAAATGATAGTGAAGGCAAACTCTATCCCACATAACACAACTTTAAGTCTTTGAGTTTCTGATTTTGTCTTTAAAATAGTATTGGTCAGTGTAAAATGGGTTTAGTCTCAACAAATAAAAAAGACACAGCAGAACAAACAATTTAACAACAATCTGACCTTTCATCCATGCAGACATACTCACTGTGTTCAATAAACAGGATGTAAAAGTTTGCATTCAGTGCATCACTTTTTTGTGTACAAAAGTGGGACACTTTCCATAAAGTTGAGATGAACTGAATTTAAAAAAAAGGAAAAGGTTTTTTAAAAAGTATTTGCAGTATTAACCGTAGTTCCCTGGGGTTATGAAGCTTTGGTCCCTTATTTTACTTTGGTCTTTAATTTTGGTCCAGCACTTTTGGCTTCATGTTTAGGTGTCATAGATATACTGCAGCCTCGCTTCGAAATCCTCACAGTTCCTTTGGCTTCGGTGTAAAATTGTTCGCCTGGGTGCTCATTAGGGATGAAATGCCTCATGCCAAACCTTGAAATAGCAACACTGACTCTGAATCAGTCTCTAGGTTGCACCTTAACCTACTAGCTGCACTCAGGAGTTCAGGAGCGTCTCATGATTTGGGTGGAAGAGCAGAAGTGTGACAGCTGGCGCCCTCTAGAGGTAGTCCAGCTCCAGTGCATGGCTCAAAGCCTCCAGATCGGGCCGACAGGACACCCTCCAGAACGGCATGTTCTTCTGTGAAAACAAACATAAAATAATTCAAATACAGGTTTTAATGTAAAACATACAAACTTAAGGCAGGCATACTTTAGTAACTTACAATGCTCCTACAGATGCAATGCAGATGTGAAATATAGACTGTGGTTTGGAGGGGGATTGTAGTATGTGACAAAGTGCATGTGGATAACATTTTTGGTCTATAATGTACAAAAGAATAATGCCAAAAAAAAAAGAACTGCCAAATCCAGGAAAATTTGGACGTTTTAAACGCAAAGATTATAAAAACAAACGCAGACACAGAAGCTGCAGAAATTTAATGTGTCTTAAGGTTAACTGATTAGTTGAGGCCCATTTTTCAGCAGTCAGAGTCATAAAAAAAACAAAGAATGAGTTATACCTTCTTGGCCACGGCCTCTTCTTCGGCTCCATCTCCTATCACCACATACACTGCTCTCCGACCAAACCTCTGAGAGACTCGCTCAAAACAGCTCTCTTTGCCTTTGACGTGAGGGAAAATCAGAGTTCAAAATATTAAAATTGTACACTTGAAGAAAGTTACTAGCATTGGAAATGGAAGAGGACATTTTTGATTAATCATTATTGTCTTTTTTCTCCCTCCTTCCCTAAATGTACCTCACCTGTCTTAGTGGCACTGTATATGTTCTCTATGGGGAAGGCTGAGCCCAAACCATACAGTAACACCTTGGAGAGGGCTGGGATGAGCTGGGTGGTGGTTACCAACACATTCACACAGTTAGGCCTGGAACAGGACAGGACAGACACATGAATACTACGGTTAAGTCATGACATCTTAAATGCTATATCAGGAACTAACATTCAACACATATTGGCATATGGACAAAAATCATCAATAAAACAAAATATTGTACAGCTAACAGCAAACATGAATTGGCCTGCCGGTGTAAATCAGGCTGTGGTAGCATTAACCCACCTGGAGTTGATGAGAGCCAGGGCTTTGAGTGCTTGAGTCAGCCACAGGTCAGTCAGGACCTCCATCTCTCTCCTCAGCTGTAACCACTCCTCTCGCTTGGGGCTAACCAGCAAACCTGCCCATCAGGGAGAAGCACAAGCTTGCTGGTCAGTCTTTGCAACAACAACAGGAAGGACATGAACCCTGATATATCCAGTACATAAAAGATCTCATTTAGTGAAACGTTGCAAAACCTTATTTTGACAGCAGGACTGTCTGCAGTCCTTTGTTGGACAATTCTCACACAACATTCTCTAGCCAAAACCTCAGACACATGGTTTCCAGCACAGTTAAAGCAGCCAACTGTAATCAGCAGTGCACCAAGGGTCCACACTAAACAACAACAACTTGACAACAAACAACTGACTCATTATCTTAGTTGACAAACGAACCAGTCTACTTCCTTTCAGCTCTTTAACCACATCCTAATTAAATTAATTTAATAGGTAATACATAAGTAATGAACCATATTTTTAACAAAGATTCTTCTAGGAAAGAGCAGGTGTTTATCGTCATATTCTCACCACATTTTCATCGCTAACAGAGATTTGGCTGTGCAAACTAGAGTTCCAAAAATACAAAATGCACTTATAATGTGATACAAGCGCAAACAAAGACAAGACCCGGACAAACCACTGTGGTCTGTTACTTATTTTCTGTCATTATTTGTTCTAATTTCATTGCTAGAAAACCACATACAACCCTTTATCAAACCTCAGAGAAAATGAGATAATCTAAATATCTAGGTTGCATAAAATAAAATGAGAGCGAAGCTTACCTCCAACATTATTTTTGTATGTGTTGTAGATCTCCTTGACTCTGCGGTATCGGAAAGCTAGTTTCCTCATCCAGTCCACCCCTCCGTGGACCCCTGACCCTAGGCACAGAGAGCTGGCCCCTGCTGGGCTCTGGAAGCCATCTGACCCAAAGTTGTAAGTGCTGCAGGATCACAATACAGGAAATAGTCAGGATATAGATCATAAAGACACAAACTGCATTTTTCCATAGCATTTTATCGTAGCACTATTATCACTGTTTCAGAGAGGATGCTCTAAGAATTGGTACAACTATATTCATGGATACAGTTTCTAGCTCTAGGAATTGATTCAAACTATTCAGGATAAGAAGGCAGAGCTTAAACCATTCATCAAATTTAGGGAGGTGTGCCAGTGCAACCACAAAAATTTCAGGGACAAGAAACGTAGACTCGTAGACACTGACTTTTATCCATGAGTGAAGCTTTGTCAGTAAGAAGTATATACATTCAGCATGGCTAGGATGAATATAAAACCATCTTTGAGAATGAAAAGGGCCAAGTTCAATAAAATAAATACTTCAAAAAAGTACTCTGGTACAGTCTGGCTTTTTCTCAAATCACTCCTAAAAGTATCCTAAAGTGCCTCAACAAGTTTATGCAATAAAATGTCTGGTCTGAGGGAGACAGAGGGAATGATAAAGAGATATTTTGATGAGAAATGAAAGCGTTGGATAATCCTGTGACATATTATATGGCTGTGGAAGTTGGGAAAATAAAAGACATGCACATGCTTGCATGCATGAACACACACAGACACACAACACACACAGTCTTCGTCTCATCTCTTGCTTTTTTTCCTCCTGTGCATTAAAACCTAGAGGGCAAGTCTGGTTCACAAGCCACAGCAGAACTGTCAGAGTCTCAGTAACTCAGTAATACAGTAACAGTAACACAGTAGAAGCTTTACCTCAGGTCCTGTCCATTGTCGTCTGATGCCACGTCATCAATATGAACCTGGTCACATTCCTGGGAAATGAAAAGGAGTACGGATATATCAAGCGATCCATTTCAGAGTGGAGCCCTGTACGGGCAGGTTTCTCCTCTTTAGGAGAGCCTGTGGGAGTGATAGCAGCTACAGAAATAAAAAAAAGAGCTAAAATAAAAGACACGGAAGGAGGAAATAAGGTGTTGGGACATGGGACAGCAAGGCGCCGGAGATACAGGACAGTCAACATTGCTGTGCAATTCTAGTGAAACCACGTAGTAAATTCAAATAAAGTGAATCTACATTTTTTATAATGCGTCCAACATTTTGGTTAAAAAATAAAGAAAGGTCCATTGTCTTCAACAAGCACAGTGGTGTGCACGTTGTTCCTCTCTATTGGACGTTAATGCAACCAACCAAACCGCAGGGATTAAAACCACACTGTAGCCTAAACGTGGCTACAGCCAAAACACCTTCAGCTATATGCAGTGGATGTGTAGGACAAAAACAAAAACAAGGAGCATGAATCCATCATCATAGGAGACAAGTGTGTCTAACAATAACTGTCTCCTAAAAAAAAATCCTAAGATCTCTTGTTTCATTGTCTTTTTTCCCCACAACCTTTCTTTCTTGCACACACACACACACACGACCACACACACCACACACACAACCATGCACACATATGTGCAAAGTCCTAGAATATCGTCTAGTTGTCACGCAGTGACCCAGGACAGACAGGGTCTCCTATCGCCTTTCAGCCATCTTGAGCCAGATGGAGACGCTACCTCATCTTCCCTCAATCTTCACATAACTCAATTCCCAGGGGCTGCAACCCACTTCCCACTCAGGTGCCATCCGCCCCAGAAGAGCCGCTACTACTGATATAATACAACCCCTTTAGCAGTTCACATATACACTGAAAGTCAGAACCTGCAGAGCATTCTCATTTTAATTCAGTTTTACGAGCTGGGAATGAAGTGAAATACAGCCATAGGAACCTAATTATTTTGGTTTTTTTAAATAGGAAAATTTTAACTGGAAACTCTGACTTTGATTAATCAGGTGGCCATGCATGCCGATTACAATTATGTGATCTTCTGGTGGTATTACAGTTATGACAGCAGTGATAACACTCGTAGCTACTGATGTAGCTACTGACATGGGAAGGACAAGATAATTGTACCCCAAGACTTAACAGCTGTTGTCAGCATGCTGTGGCCTACTGCTTTAGAGATTTACTGAGCCATGACAACAAAAAAGGGGATAAGAACCGGGATTGCAAATGGCTTTGTTGGCTCTTTTCCCTCCTCTTGACTGTTCCTCCTCCCATTTGACTAATTTTCCTTTCGGATACTCAGACACACACCTATAATTACAGCACAAAGTGTACTTGTTCTCTCTCTCTCTCCGTACCTCTCTAATCTTTTTTCTTTGTCGGAACAAGGTAGAAGAATGCAGGATGAAAAACATATGAACTTTTCAGTCACTGACAGCTAGTAAAACTGAATTTTAACGACCACTTGGAGTTTTTTTGAGGAGTCCTTCTTTTTAGAGGTTGCATCAATGTCTATGTTAACTGTGGTGGACATTTAAGCAGAAGGCTAAGTCTAACTGTAAGAGCACTTATGCCAGCAGTTAACAACCCCTCCTTTTAATATTCTTGCTCAACTGAGGAGGGCAAATTGTTTGGAAAATGTTGTAGTAAGAATTAATACTGGATAGATGTTGTGTGAGGGGATTTCTACAATGACTGCCACTGTGCTTTATGCCAGGTAAGAAAACAGCACCCAAATGTCAAACCTCTTGCTACGCTGTTGCAGGGAAGGTTTTCTGGTCAACAGTATGCCAGTTTATACTGCTGGATACGCTGTCTCTGCTCTTATTTTCCAGTTTACTGGAAATAATTCACGGTTTCACAATAATTGCAAAAAACTGAGCTGCAGTGTGCTTCAAGGGGAATATGAAATAAGTCCAAGACACCGGTTTAAGTCAGCAGAATCTTAATCCTGCAATTTTCTAAATATGCTCCCCTTCACATCTTTTTCATGAGCCAAATATCACTCAAATTTAAAAACTTACCTCCAAGTCATTGAAGAAGAGTCTTGAATCAGCCAGATTGAAGATCATCTCCTCCATCCACAAACCAAGAGACACTGCCTTTGAGGAGTCCTGGTGCACACAAAAAGTCACACACCAATAGAGTTAATAATTTGCTTCGAAAACCACACTACACATTTCTGTTACAGTAAAACGCTGTTGTGTACACGCATCTGTAATCACAAATTAGGTTTTTAATTCTCATTGGCTTCTTGAACTAAAACTACAACTAATAAATCCCCCAACACAATTTATTTCACATCAGTCAAATGTGCGTCTTAACGTGGATGTTTGTGTTTATGTCTTAAGGCATGTGCATGTGTATATATACTGTGGTAACACATTTCCCCACAGGCACAGTAAAGACTCTTATCTCTCTCGACCAGAGTCATATGCACTTCAACACATTTAAATGAAAGAAAAGCAGTCTATAAACTACAGCTTGTGGTTTGACCTAGTTAATAGAAAAGATGGCAGAACAACAGCTCTCTATCACTTCAGGTTGCACCCTTATTAATTTGTTAATAAATAATAAAATCATGAGCTCAGCCTGAGGTTGATGGCTTAAGAGGTTTGGTATTTAGAGTATTTAGAAAATAATCAGTTAAATCGGATTATTGAACATCATTATTATTGAACATTATTTTCGCCTTGTCAGTGCAGCTGCCTACTTGTCTTTCTGAACAGCTTTCCTTTCACTTCCTCTGCAAACTCATCAAGTGGACTGACATAAACAGGTTTCAGGGAGAGGCAAGTGTAAATATCTGTCAATCAAATTCTACACTGACAGTTTTCCCAGTTTGTCTCCACTGATTATTTTTGATTGATTCATTACAGTAAAAATGCCTCATTAAATTAATTAAATAAATCAGAAACCCATGTACAGTCCATTCATTCAGTCATCAAGGCTTAACCGACCTTTTCAGTGTTTTAGCAAGTTGTAGCTCCTAAACTATAAATATCTTTTGCTGACTAATAGTTTTTAATCGGTTTACAATGCAGAGATTATGTAAATAATGTACAGACAGCCACGCTAGAAGATCCTCTGTGAGGATGTACTTCATAGCAGTGCTTTGTGCTAAATAGTAGCCCCAATGACAATGCTAACATGTTTAGCACGTATAATGTTGAAGTTAAGCATTTCACTTTTTAGCATGCTTACGTTTGTGAACTAGGAATGTAATTATTTTTACAGGTATTTGGACAAGAACCAAAGTACTTTGCAAATTAAAATTCTGAGCAGATGATGCTAATTAAAAGTCATCCATGAGTGTGTGTGCCAAATTTCATGGCAATCTATCCAATAGTTATTGTGACATTTCACGTCAAACCAGTGTGGACAAAGTGGTGGACTGACCAGAACTGCCATCCAAAGAGCTGCACTGTTAGCATGACTAAAAATGAATGCAGATGTAACGTTCACTGTGATGGATTCACCAATTCTAGTTTCAAGAATCTCATATTTGATTAGAGAGTTACAAAAATGAATGTAAATCAATGACTTCCTGGCATGATGGGAAAAATACATTCAAAGATCTTAAACACGACAACAAGTCTATGTGACTTTTTTGAAACTGTTAGAAACACGCTGGTATGGTCCTTAAAAATGTCTCCCCCACTACATAACTGTAATAGTTCAGAAACAATAAGCCACTACAGATTTCTCCAGGTCAGTTATAGTAAAAAACAAAAGGACAGGTATGTTTTATATATTGTGCTCTTGTGTTAATGTTGGTCTTTCACCTTCTTCACCTTCTTTCAGCTTTTTCTCTTTCTATCAACACTTCACACACCAACTGACCTCTTGTTCTTTTTCTCTTGCATGGAAAAAACCCAAACAAAAATATGCGGGTGTTCCATTACACCAATTTCAGTTTTTTTCTTAATAAGCAAATTATAAATCATCACCCGGAAAAACATGTAAGCCATAATATGCAGGCTGACAGTGTGGCGTGGGTGTGTTGTCGTTCAAGACTACAAAAGCAGGTGTGTGTATGTATGTGTGGCATATTGTTTTGATGGCAGCGTTGGCTGGTCTTTGGCAGCGAGACAGGAGAAGCAGAGGGGTGTCAGCCAAAGGTGAGTGTTAGATTAGTGCATCTGGAATGACAAGCAGAGCTGTCCTCTGGCGCAAAATGGTAGAAATGGGCTTGATGACACAAGTGGGGTAAATTATGACAATTACAAAGTACTCCCTTCCAAAAAAAGGGTGTAAAGGTGCAAGAGAATAAGGTAATTGAGGACAAAGGGCAGAAAAAGTTCAGTAGGAGGGTGACAAGGAGAAAATGATGAGGGGGAGGATTGACAAACACTGGCCAGAAGAGGAAGAGATGAATGGAAAGGATGAAGAGGGTGGGGTTAAAGGCTTAAGAAAGGATTGTGCTTGTCTAATAATTGAAATAATTATCCGTAATTGCCTTCCTCCAGAAACGAGGGCTGTTCTATACAGAGGAACAAATTAAAGCCTTTTTCTGATAATCCCAGAAAAGAATTTAAGAAGAAAGCCAAAAAAAAGGAGGAAGCTAAAGTTCCCACCTTGGGGTAGTTCAATATGAAAGACAGAGCAGGGGGGGAAAAAAATTCACACACTAGAGGACAGAGAGGGGCGCTGTATGATAGATGAGATAATGGAGGAGCTGTTAGAGGGGAGGGAATCAGCTCCTCATGTGGATCTCCGTTCACCTCTGGCTCACCAAGCTGGTGAAAACAACTGTCTTTCAACACGCCCATTAGTCTTTCCTGCACGCTGGGCCCAGACTTGCCTTTACGTATGGGTTCAAACATTTGTTTATGATAAGAGTTTAATAGGCTGACTAATGGGAAGAGCCTGGACTGTTAAAAGTAGACACAAAGTGGGACACAAAGCAATGAAGCGGAGATAAGAAAAAGTGCACTATGGTAGAGTAAGATGAGTTTACTGCAAATTTGGGAGGGAGAAAAAAGAAAGGAAAAGGTGTTGCCAGCTTGTAAGCTCTCTTGATGCGTCGGACTGTTAATCTGTTTTCCGCTGTCACTCATTCAGTTCCTCCAGTGCATGTCTGAGTTTTAATGTCAGACTCTGTTCAACTGAGCTTCCCTGGATACAGCAGCGGGGTGTTTGGGTGGTGGGAGGAATCAGGAATTTTTGGCACATGAGTCACATTTCAACACATCCACTCTCTCGTTCTTTCTCTCGTTGTCTCTTCCTCTATGTTTCTCTTCACTGCCCCCCCCTCTCCGTGGCAGAAAAGAAAGAAAAAGAAACAACGGCATGCATGGCCTGCCGGGGGCTGAACCGATCAGAAACGCTGCTCTCAAACTCCCATCAGCCTTGTGTCAACCCGCAGGGGGACCGTGAGAATTCAAAACACAGATCCCCGGCCAAGACCAAGAAACGCACCACTGTCCGCCCCTTGTCAGCTGCCTGTCTGTTATGTAAAGGTCCCGCTGGCTGTCAATCACGCCGCAGGATGCCAGGGTAGCTAAACAACTCCGGTGCATTATGAAAAGAAACAAGAGGGCAGAAAGGCAAAACAGTCAGCGTGTGAAAATGCTCAGGGATGAGACCCAAAGGTTGTGGACTCAGGATCAGGCAGCCAAAGCTTTGACTGTTAGTCAAATAAGCACTCGAGCACTAAGATGTGAGAAATGACTGGACAAAAGCCAGATTACACTGGTTTGTTGTTGTTGTCAGGGTTTTGTGCCAAACTGTGCCCTCCTATCTAATAATTAACTGTTGTCAACATGGGATGAGCTACACCAGATATTTCTTACAAGAAATGACAAAGGGAGGGGTCACTATACCTTGCCAAATCGTGAGGAGAAGGTTCCCGTGAGGAGCGAATGGAAAATGATGATGGTTTCATCCAGGTCCCAGATAAACACACGCTGCAGTGAAATAACAGATATGTAATGTTAACCTCATGAAGGCGTATGTGTGTGTGTGTGTGTGTGTGTGTGTGTGTGAGAGAGAGAGAAAGATAAATATTGTAGGGAAATACTGATAATTTTCAACACTGTGTGAGTGTGTGTTTACCTCTATATCAGAGTCCAGAGGTGGAGCTGGGTCACTGACTCTTTTCCTCCCCCTCAACTTCCCATCCGACCCCCTTCGTGATGGGACCCCCTCGTCTTTACCTGGTGTGGGGGGGCTGGGCGGTGGGTGGTATTCTCCTGGAACACACATCGATAAAAAACAAAGTTGCTATTCAGTCTCTATAAAACCTTTTTTCCAGATTCAGGCTTTGATTTATTAAATTAAGAGCTTAAGAGGGAAAGTCCTCAGATTGTACATGTCAAAGAAAATGTACTAGTCACAGAAAACAAAAGATGCTATTGAGATGCATCATGGGAAGTGTAGGATCCAGGGTTTTTGGAGCCACACCAGGGACTAAAAGTTAAAATTTGACAGTTCTTTTTGAAACTGTCTCTTAAGAGAAGATTCAGTTTGACTTATTAAACACTTTTTTGAATTATTATTACTATGGTAAGGTAAAGATGTAATTCCAGGTAGGGTAGTGGATATGCATTACTTGTATATGTGACATGATCTGTCCATTTAAAAAATACAACAACAACAACAAAAAATAAGATTAAGATCCAACCAAAAAGCCCACTTCCTTACCTGTGTGTGACTCTGGACTGTGATTGGGCAGCATGACGGGGTGTTCTGGATGCTGATAGGCTAATGGAGCTGTGATGGCAGCAGGGCTGATGTTGCTGCTGGGTAGGTAGGGGCTGTTGTAGTGATGTGAGTTATAATACGGAGAGTACTGACTCTGACTGTAGCTAGAGTACGCTGAAAACTCCTGTTATCACATAAACAGTGCCTTTAATTAGTCAGTGTCAAAATATGAACATCGTCATTCCAAAATGTATAAAGTCAACAATATGATTAAGCAGTGGATAAATTAAGCTGTTATTAATTTAAAGGACCAGTGTGTAGGATTTAGTGGCATCTAGTAGTGTAGTTGCAGATTAACTCCCTCGCTTCACCCTTCCCTTCCAAACATGAAGGACAAACTGCAGCGGCTGCGAGACACGTAAAAAACAAATGGCCCTATCTAGAGCCAGTGTTTTGATTAAAGTGTTTGTCCCTTCTTTGATACTGTAGGAACAAGGTGGTTCAACAAGGCAGACTCAATGGAAGGCAACCTGAGGCTCTGTAGAATATAAAGGGCTCATTCTTAAATAACAAATAATGATTCTAACTTTTCGCGGGTGAATATACATACCAAAACATATGCATATTATATTCCATTTCTGCCAATAGAGCCTCCTTCATGTTACACACTGGACCTTTATCTCTTCAGATATCTCACTACATTACTTACTTGCTGGGTAGGGTTGAATGGGGTTGAACTGGAGATTGCGTGGGTGCCTTGAAAAATTCCAGATGAAATACCACCACCTGCGAAATAATGTGAACAAAAAGGTCAAACTCTAAACTTAAACTGGGGGGATATTTCACTGTGTTACATCTTGTATTGATGAATAAGATTCAGATATCATTTCACAACATCCGATCTGATCTGTGAGATGGTGTGGAGGAAGTAATGAGCAGTAAACTCTGTCTCCTTCCTCAGTGACAGCTCTGTGCTGCAGGGGCTCGGAGAGAGATTTATACTTGACATAACAATACAGGTGGGAAAGTCTGCTGCTGCTGCTGCTCTGAGAATCCTGTCAGTCTAATCAAGCCAAGGCAGGAATGTCTTGTCTACAAGCAATTTCCCCTCACAGTCATGCTCCCACCCTGCATCTTTCAGTCAAGTCTGTTCATAGTCTGTTTGTCTGATTAATTATTTCTCTTGTAATCTTATTATCTTCACCTACGGCACTTCAAATTTCCATTCCATTTTTTTTTCCTGTTTGTCAGGTAGCTTGTTGTTTCCAAAGGTTATTAATGGAAATGAACAAAACCTGGTCATCGGCCAAGGAGGAACTTCGAGATCGCACTGTAGATTTTAGAATTTACACCCTTATTTACACATTTATAGAAGGTACAGGGAGAAGGGAGAGCTCCTTACTTGTTTCTAATACTTGGTTCAATGGTCAGTCATCAGTGAACAGATACAGTGTTTACTGACCATGTGGTGACTTTTAAAAGCTCTTATAGGCTGTATTAAGGCACAACAATTCTTGGAGCTAAATGCTTATATGCAGCATAATAACATGCTCCCAGTGACGATGTTAACATGCTTATGGTAGGCAGGTGTGTTTGCCATGTTCACCATCTAAGTATACTGTGTTTTGTACAGTGCTTACATTTGCTAATTAGCCTCAGTGCTGCAGCGGTTGATGATGTAAGTACTGGAAAAATGAAAGCTTACATGGATGATAGCTCTAGATGAAAAGGGATCACCAGTTATAACAATTCATCCCGTGAGGAACATAAATGTCTGTACAAAATTTCATGGCAATCCATCCAACAGTTGTCAAAACATTTCACTGAAAACCCCCAAATATCAACCTCACGGTGGAGCTAGAAGTAGTCAGGGGTTCTCTAAAGTGAGTAGTATCAATCCTCTGGGAACCATGAATAAATCCTCTGGGTACAAAATGTCATGACTGTCCATCTAATAGTTGCTGACATATTTCTGTTGGACAAACCGACTAACCAACATCATCAATGATTGTTAGAAATGCTTGAAAGTACCCTTGAGGATATAACAGTAAACTCTGGACATCCAGATATGCAGGAATTTATTATTGACATGACACAACATGTCAGTTGCTTATACAAATGATTGTGTGTAACATGAAACAGGTCAAATAGTATTTGCAAATAATTACTGTGTTTTTAAATGTTTATTGAATGGGAGGCTTTTCCTATGTACAAGAGGAAGGTGTAATTAATACCACGTAATTTAAGAACTGGTTAGAAGTTTATTTAGTATGATTCTCTTTGAGGGATCTACCCTGTTTGTTCTGACTGTTGGCTTTAGGTATAATAAGAATATACCTTCCTGATGTATTTTTAAAGATTAACTTCCTTTACTTCTACCTTCATTGTTTCATTAGTCCACTACTGCTCTCTTTTCCACTCCACAGTGCATTACAAAAAGGAGAATAATGACTCAATGGAAGAACCACAGTGAAAACTCCCCGGACAACACAAAAATCTTCAAAGCGACTAAAGGAAAAATACAGGAGGTCTCTCGAGTAAACACAAAAAGGCTCCCATAGTCCCCATTTGGTTTCAGTTGTACACACAGTGTACAGTACGTGTTTCGATGGCTTTTTGTGGTGTGTGTGTTTGCGTGTGTGCATGCTTGTGCATTGTGTACAGTATAATGGATGACATGGAAACATTCTGAAATCCTACAAACATTTGGTTGTTGTGGCAGTTTATTACCGTTTGAAGTTTGTAGTTAATGATTTATGCAAAAAAATATTCAAACAAATTTATTTTGTTTGGGAACAGTGTCTTTCAAACTCAAACTACATTCTGTTAAAAAATTGTTTATTGGTTCAGCAGTCGTGCTCTAACAGAGTACAGTCATGTCAAGGCTTTGCAGTTTGTAAGAGGTTTCATCAAAAGTGTGTTTACATGAATATTTACATTCCCGTATAATGTCTGACATCTGAATTTTCTCTTAAGGAGGAAGTGATACGGAAAACTAGACATTTACATCTTGCAAGAAATACCTTTCTAGAACAGAGACAAGGGCTAGGATCTCCCCCTCATGTACTACTATGCATACTTAGGTCACGTGAGAACAGCTCAATTGTCTCCATGACAACTGAGCAAACTTAATTGGGATGAAAGCTCTGGAAAAAGCTAGTAACTACTTCTTCAAGGTCAAGAATGAACATCATGCTCAATAATTTTGCTGTTCTTTAATAAATAATAAAGCAATGCTTCACCTACTTCTTACAAGGAAATATTATATTCTAACCTTTTTAGTTAAGGTCTGAATCAGGCTTGTATGTGAGTAGATATGGTCTTAACGTGTGGTATATCAAGAAGGTCAGCAATACTGATGAACCATGCTATATGTTAATGTTAAATTTCAGTTTAATTTTTTTTAACTACAAGCAGTCAGAAGATAAGACAGGTTGTAAAAAAAAAACAGCAGTCTTTGTTGGTTATCTTAAGGACTTTATCCTTCTGTAAAATGTGATGAGTGTTTACAATGGACAGTTTGGGTAATAATTTTACTGTTCATCTTCATTTTCTCTTTCAAATAAGTTTGGATAACCTTTGGGTTTGTTAAAAACCTGTCGTATGTATGACTGCTGCTATTTCCTCCCCCGTCTGATTAATTGTTCTGTGTTCCTGAGAAATTAGGGATTATTATCATCATTTTGAGTGAGTTAACTTCTGATTTTACCATCAAATAGACTGGTTTCGATAATTTGGTGACCTCTCTGAGTAAATGTTCCTTACGCTGTCTGACTTTGTTTTTGCGCTGTCTCTGTGCTCCCTGATCTTGGAAATTGACTTGGTGAGTACAGTGCTATTATAATTTATCAAAACTAATGCCAAACATAAAAAATCAAGATCAAGAAGAAAAAATAAGCTCAAATTATGGTCAGTGTACAGCTGTGGGAACAAAATTACTTTTGGTAAACCCAAAAAACCTTTCTGAAAAAATTTTATCAGTGCCTTGACTAATAAAGTAGGAAAATACTATTTTTTGACAGAAATATGTGTATATATATATATATTTGACAGAAATATGTGTATATATATATATATATATATATATATATACACATATACATATATTTGAATGCATTGCTAGAGTGCTGAGAAATTTAAATTAATGTAGCAACACGGGTAATACTAAGTCACGTCCACACATCATTTGTTTACTGTTAAATTCTGTTTCGTCTCTTATTTGTCTCATCCATACAGTGGAAACAGCCTCATCCCCCAGTCTGCAACTTTAAACCTACTCACCCCTCCGTATAATGCACCTTAACCTCTCCCCTCTCACACACAAGGTCAATTTCACGCCGCTTTCAAAGCCATAAAGTCGCACTGAGCGAGTCATGCTTTGGGCGCCGGGCGACTGAGGAATGTGTACAGCACAGATACACACACACACACAGTCGCAAACACACACAGCCATGCGTGGGCAGAAAGTTGCACACACTACGCAACATACCACATTTTCATTTGAGTCTTTGCTTTTCGCCAAAGACCCTCTTCCCATCTCTTGTTCTCTATGTTATTCTTGTTTTCTTTCTTTCTTCCATCCTCTCTATTTCTCTTCCCCTCTGCCTATATGTTTTCTCAATCTCTTGTTTTCTCAAACAGACACAAGCGCTTGCATGCTGTGTTGTTGGTCTGAGTGGAGAAAGGGGGCCTGACCCCGAAAAAAGGGGAGGGGTGGGGAGACTTTTGACGCCAGGAGTCCAGACCGCAGCTAATGGAGAACAGGTGTGGCAGAGAGAAGGAGAGGAAAAGAAAGAAAGATGAGGAGAGGAGAGGAGAGGAGAGGAGAGGAGAGGAAAAGAAAAGATGGAAGCTTCTTCCAGTGAGGTTGAAATCAAAGATGGTGTATTTGTAAGGTTTGTTGTGCCAGTGTGTGTAACAGTATGTGCATACATCCGGTACATGCAGTGTTTCAGACTCACTGTGTGTGTGTGAGTAGCTGTAGAGACTCTGACTGGGAGGAGTGCTGCTGAAGTTCGAGTATCCAAGTAGTCCCGTCTGTCCTGGAGAGTGACTCAGGCCGTCTTCTGTTTTAATGTCTAAGTATGGAAAGATGCCATTTAAGAGAACAGTAGAGGAATTTGTTTGGATTCATGAAAAACTAGCCAACATGCAGTGTTATAGGCTTAAGTTATGTGATTAAGTAATGTTAACTGAGTCTGTATTTCTACTAGGAAGCGATAAATAACGTGTAGTGTAGAGAGCTCTCACTTTTGATTGGTAAGGTAATTATCAGGATTTTATTCTATATTCTACAAGTTTTAGTGTGAGGCTTTATCTATTTCTTAAGGGTGCCATTTTCCATGAACAACCCTGACCACAAGCTTAGAACTCAACATACATAGGTATAATAATACTAAGGTGCCTGCTGTCTTATATACATTATAAAATGGCTTGTTCCCCCTTGTGTCTCCCTTGAGTCTCCCCTATTTTTTTTGTTCCAGTTTCCAGTTGAATGTCTATGTTGTCCAATGTGCTGTGTCGTTATTGTGTCTTGTTGCTTCCATCATAAAAAAGAAGGTGAACACTTACACAACTAGCACTAACCAGCAGAATCTGATGTAAATAACCAGAGATTTGGCGATACCCATAAGCACTGCCGGCACATTAGTGTTTTTGCTTTTGAGGTGATTATCAAAATAATGCATGAATTTATAAAACTGCACGTTTGTTTGTACTTACTGTAAGATGGCATGCTGTAGCCCTGCGTATGGTGGGTGTAAGGTGTGTATGGCCCTGCAGGCTGAAGGGCGGGGCTGTACTGAGTCTGTCCGTATGCAGCCATGACACTTCTCCCCGTCACCTGATCGCGAAGGAGGAAGAAATAATGAGGAAACTTCTCAGTTCTCCATCTCTTTAACTGTTACAACTGAACACCTGCGTTTCTCACAGCTGAAACTGATAGTGAGGAAGAACGTACTTGGCTGTCAAAAACATGCAAACATTCATGTTTCTTAATTAATGCTTATTGGTAATTGTAGCATGAAACAACTACAAAAAAACTGGACTTCATTAAAGGAAAAGAAAAGAGTATCCCTTACAGTTGTTGGTCAAATAAACAAATGTCAAAGTTGAGGGCTGAATCACTATGATTTTAAAGAATGTGTCAGTTGCCTATAGGTCAAACAACAGACATTGATAGTGCCAAATGTTAGCTTTAATTCTCGTGATTCTAAACACAAAGATATGACAAATGCAATTTAATTTTTAATTTCACCTATAAACGTCAAAAAACTCACCTGCAGTAGGTACGATGAGTTTGAAGTAGATAATAAGAAGCCCTGTGAATGAAACAAGAACAGGCATTGTCATAAGATTAACAATGAAACCAGTTAGGAGATTAACAATGAGATTTAAATAAAATAACTTAAACTTAAATCTGATTGAATTGTAAATTAGGTTTTTCTCACATATAGATCTTCTATCTTTGTACAATTTCAGAAAATATTATATTATTATAATATATATTATTATTATATTATTATAGTAATGCAGAAGGAGACTCTCCAACTCAATGAATTCAGTTTAATGCAGTTGATTAATACACTAACATTTTGAATAATTCTAAATGCTACAAATACGTTGCCCTCATAAAAACAAACTCATAGATGATGGGGTGCAGTCCTGATGACCAGTTAAATCATTATGCAAGGGTTTCTTTTAGTATATAATCTGTTTGTTGACTTCACAGGCGGCCAGGATTGACTGCACTCCAGCTGGCAAACAGACAGTTTTCATCTATAGCACTTTACTCTTTTCTTTGTAGTTTTTGCTCTCTCACCTGGCTCTGTAGAAAGAGCTTTATCCTCTTTATCCCGTCACGCTGCTGTTAGTCAGGTTCCTCTTGAGCCGTCAACTGTCCTGTGGAAACAATAGTAAATAGACATCATCAGGACACTGGTATGCAGGTGACTGACACATGGCGACGTGCCTCGGGGCCTGTTGGGGTAGGATAAGGGGGCGGGGGTATAGATATTTTCTCCACGCACAAAGTTCAAGAAGTAAGTAGGTTTAAGGAAAGACAGAAAGAAAGAGAACAAGATAAATGTGGTTTTGATGTGATGAGTGTAGTCATTAGAGACAGACAGGCAAAGGCAGAAACCTGACAGGTAACATTGTTTCTAGGGAAAATGTCATTAAATTCTCCACTAGGCCACTGCATGACTCACTCTGCTGTGTCGCCTGGGTGCCATGCATACTGTGTGTAGCTAATTAGTGTAAAAAAAACAAACTCTCTGTTCAGCAGAGTTTCTCATGTACGCTGCTGATATGATGAGACAATAGAGCTTAGTAAGACAGGAGAGAATAAAATAGGATGACAGGATGAGACACGAGAGATTGTGCAATAGGATTTCTACGAAGGTTGCTATCTCTTTTAATGTATTTCTCTGGTTGTACTATGTCATTGCAGGCAATGATACAAATCAATAAGCAGGGCTGCTTTATGGAAATATTGGATTTATGGATTTTTGCATAAATGTGATGAAATACATCAATTTATAATCAATTACATATACTGTGAGAGAGATTTTATTCTCTGTATATTGGCCAGCCCATTAACAGAAGTAATGGAAAGATAAAAGAGTGAGAAAGAAAAGGGTCAAAAGAAGAGAGGGAAGTGGAGGTCCCGGCTCAGTGAGCTGGAGTTTAAAAGGTCGATGCCACATGAGTTAGTCTAAGCAGGAAGCTGAACGAGGTCAGTCTGTTCGACAGCAGCCAACTCACGCAAGGTACAGTCTGAAGCAAGATGCACTGTGGGTGACGTTAGGTAGAAATCAAGCCATCTACACTACAGGACCAAAAAGATGTCGACACTACCCACACTCCTGTGTACTTTTGTACTCTTTTTTCATGCTTTAAGCTTGGCCTCCTATTCTTAAAATAAATCTTAATTTTACAGCATGCAACAATGTTTCAAACAACAGCAAGTTTTCAACTGTTTGGCAGTTTAGGGAAGGCCCAGTCCTGTTTCAGCCTGACAATTCCCAGTGCACAAAAAGAAGCAGGGATGGGTTTTTTGAGTTTGGCCCAGCACAGGGCAGTGACTTCAACTCCATTCAACACCTTTGGGTTTAAATGTAATGTGTACTTTGAGTCAGGCCTTATCGCCAAACATCACGGTTGCTCTTGTGGTTGAATTGGAGCAAATCCCCGAATCCAGGTTCCAAAGAATCATCTGGAAACCTCCCAGAAGAGTGCACTCACACCTTAAACCCTGTGGTTTTTGAATGAGATGTTCCAAAATCACATGTGGGTGTGATACTTTGTCTGCATACTTTTGGTCATGTAGTGTATAAGAACATAAAACAGACATAAAACAATGAAAGCATAAAATAACCTGCTTTTGGCTCAGCAACATTACAACTGATATTTATTCTTGCTCTATGACAATGCACAACAAACTGAAATATTTTATCAGTTTCATCTCTTCCTCTTTCTTTCTGAATCCCTCTGTCTCTTTCTGTTTCTGCCTCTCGCTTTGCCTCTGGGCCATTCCAATCTGGCAAAGCTGCAGCTAACTGCCTGACCTCTGACCTTGCTGACAACACAACGACAGAGACAGATGACAGTCATGAATTATAGGAGCAGCAGGGTTTTACAGCAACAGACAGAAGGATGGAGGTGAGGGAAAAAAGTAAAAGCTGTCTGAGAAAAAGAGGCTAAACCGACCGAAATTGTGATAGTCTGCTGATCAACAGAAGCTTCACCGTCATCGGCATCACAAAACCTGAGACGACTTAGAAAATCTTTTCTGTTATTCTCATGTCAGTAACAACAGCGGTTTTTGACAGAATAGAAGAGAAAACAAATGTCATGTTATGTCAGCTCCAGCTGATGGAGCTGCCCTCCCTCCCGGCTTTAAAAACACCCCAGACAGCTCAGTGTGTTTTTAGAATAAATAAATCTATTTCTACAATGACACTGCTGCAAAGGCTCGACAGCCAAAAATTCACCTTCACATCTGTGTTATTGACTGGAAAATAAACATAAATAAAAGAGACTGTAAATGTGACACTAATGAGGTGATTTACTGTTGGTCATGTCACTAGCCTTGTGCACTGTTTAAAGAAAATGGCAAAAAGTTACAAATTGGAGATATTTCTAATTTAATTTTTTTCAACTGAAGAATTAAGCAAATTGAGCAATTTGAAATGTATAGTTTTAAGCTAAACCACGTGTTAATGATTTGGTTTTTCTATGATTTTCCACTTCAGAATTGACCTTTAAGCCTTTGTAGCCATCAGAGACCCTGATCTGACCTTTAGCACAGGCAGACTGTGAAGCTCGAGATAGTAACACTGATCCCACAGCACAGTGGAAAACAAGGAAGGTGCTGCTGTGCTTTGCATTTCCTAGTACTTTCCAGGGATCAAAAGTTCAGCTGCATCCCTGCAACAGTCATGTATGCACACACATGCACACACAAACACAAAAACTGTGTGTGATAGCGAAGGCACTTCCTGGTTCAGGGTGAGGCCTGGGAGGAGGGCGCACAAGGCCATGGGAACTGCAGGACACCGGAGGGAAGATGAGCGGAGTTCAGCAGAGATGTGGAGAGCTGAGGGCTGAAACTAAAGCTAAAACAAACCCAGCAGGGCCACAGGGGGCCAGAGGGCCACAAGGCCAGTTCCACCAGCTTCACCTGGGTCTCAGGGTTCTGCTAGACCACTGCTTCTTTCACGGATATCAAGTTCTAGTCTTTGAGCTGATGGATTACATCACAGGATGGTGTATTGTGCTTCAAGTTGAAATGTCATTTGATATAGTCAAAGAAATAAACTGAGTTTATGCAGATTTACCTGAAACGATGACGCACACTAAACTGATCCCTATGTGCCAACAAGGAACGCTCAAGACAAAATAGTTTGTACAAAGTACTATCCAACCACATCTGAGGACAAATTAGTTTATAGCTGTTAACGGTCAAAAGCATTTCCAGTGTTACACTTGTTTTTAAAACTTGAGCAACCAGTTTAAAACCTACGCAAGTGATTAATCCCTTAATTGACAGGTTCTACTCTCACAGTAGTCTCTGCAACTTTTT